GCATTGAACTTTCTAGGGCAGAAAAGAGTCCAGCAGAGTGGAATGAGCAGGGGGTTACTTGAGCATCTGAGGTCGATAACTTTTAGGAGACTAGACTGCAGAAGGACCTTGTTGATCTTGAAAGAAGTTTCGATTTTGTTCTATGTGAGATTCAAAGCCATGGAAAGATTTCAAGCTAGAAGATGATATGAGTTGATCCCTTTGTGGAGAATCAAGTGCGGAGGCAAGAACAGCAGCAGCAGACAGACCAGTTAGTTGAGAGGCGACTGCAGAAGTCCCAGAAAGGAGATAACGGCAGAGCAGTGACAGGGGAAATGTCCTATGGTCTGCACTCTCAGCAGAAACCAAGCCAGCCACAAAAATAGAAACTTGAGTGTGTGCGTGCCCGAGAGAGAGAGAGAGAGAGAGAGAGAGATTATAATATTTGCTATTTTATGTAATATTTGCTCATTATATTGTTGTTTGACCTTTATTGTTGGTGGTACAGAATATTTATTCAGTTGTTTGGTTATGATGTGTTTTGTTGGTTTTTTTTCATCTTTATGCCATATTTACTGGGATTGGTTTTTATCATCCACTTAAATGAGAGCTTGAGCTGTTCTTATTTGTATTAGTCCATTTCTGTTGCTTATAACAGAATACTCAAAACTGGGTAATTTATAAAGAAATAAAATTTATTTCTTACGGGCCGGCCTGTGGCTCACTCGGGANGTCATCTTTAAAAAAAAAAAAAAAAAATTATTTCTTACAGTTTTGGAGACTTGGAATTTCACAGTCAAGGGGACACTGCTGATGAGGGCCTATTCTTGGTGGTAACTCTCTGTAGCCAGCACAGAATATCACACGGTGGGAATGGGCTGAGTGGGAGAGCTAACTTTCTCACTCACTCTCCTTATAACGCCATCAGAACCACACCTGTTCCTCCATGAATGGATCAAACCATTCACAAGGGCACAGTCCTCACAATCTAATCACCTTTTCAAGGCCTCACCTTTCAAATACTGTAATATGATTTCCCACCCTCTTAACACTGTTATGATGGAATCAACTTTCCAAGACATGAACTTTTAATTCATATTATTAACTTTTTGTCTATCAAGTTGGTGCCATGTATATTTCTAGTTTTGGGACTAGTTTGTTGTGTGTATGATTTATTTTCTATAAGTGTTCAATTCGAAGCCAAGTCTCTACTTGATGATTGTGGCTTTAATTTCCTCTGGGCCAAGGTTTCTTTAGGGAAGCTTTCTTTGATTTCCAGGTGCTGGGACTCCTTCAGTTTCAGTCTCCAGGGGCACTGCGCACAGGGCTGTCTGGCTGTCTCCTCACTATGAATAATTTACTTGCAGACCAGTGCCAGACTTTCCCTACTTCCTGACAGCTATTTGGAGAAGTATGGAATAAGAGGACAGACAGCTAAGGTGGGGACATGAGGGAAGAGCTTGCTACAAGCTACAAATAGGAAGACTAGGGAACTGACAATCAGAAAACCGGCAACTTGCACCTGAATTTCTGAACCAGGAGGAAAGCAGACGTGGAAGAAAAGCTCTCAGACCTACTTTAAGCAAGCCAATTGCTCTTT